ACTACTACATAACTATATATATATATATATATATATATATATATATATATATATATATATATATATATGAATGTTACAGCGTAGATTGTACCATAATTAATTGCGGAAATCTACTTAATAGAAGTGATTCAGGAAGTTTAGCTGATATCACAATGACAGTGATAGCTAGGTGAATAAATAATAAATGTTCTTGACAGCATTTTGGTAATTAAATATGATCCTTAAAGTTTTGAAAATGAACATGTTCAAGAGGATGAAAAAAGGAAGAAGTTATTAAAGGAGTATTAGGTTGATAACTAATGAAATGCTCCCAAAATTAATTTATTGATACGAATAATACTCAAAGATTCTTTTAATTCTGCTATTTTATGATCTAAAAACTTTGCGTTGTTCGAAAAAAAATAATTTTATGCTTTATAAAGCATGCAAGATTAAAAGGTGTCAACACTTAATTTTCCAATACTTTTGTAATAATCAATCCATCAGTATATTTCAATAAATAAAATTTCCATATTAAAACCGATACCATTTTTCGAGTAACAGAGCAAGTAATAAATGAAAATAAACAAGAAAAGCTCACCACCGGGGTTCCTATCAGTTCGTTATCAATTGCGGTAGTTAATATAGCATTCACGAGATTGTATATTAAAAGTAGTCTGATGATATGGTAGCCTTTCAATGTTTGCATAATTTTGGAGCGTCTATTGTCCAACACAACTCACATATAACTCAACTATTCCAAAGAGGCATATATATGATATCTGGGCTATCAATTAGGACATCAGTAGGCGAACAGAGGAAGATGAAGAAAAAGGGCTTAGAAAAAGGTACAAAATGAGTTTGTATTTAGATATTTGGGATGACTAAATAAGAAAAACATTCCACTTCCATCTCTCCGTTCATATTAACGGTAAATAGGTCACAAATCTTAATTGCTACGTAAATTTACATAATATCAAAGATTTTCATCTGTTTGTCGCTAAACTAAGAAAATAAAAGGAATCATTTCCAAAAATGTTCCCTAACTAAGGACTAAAGCAATTTTTCTTGATAAATTATTTGTTGTTGTCTTTACACTTGTTGTTGTTGTTATTATTATTATTAATTGTTCCAACATTACAAATGCCCAAAATGTATTTTACGTTTTGCAACGGGTATTTATTCCTTCTTATATTAGATAACAATAAAATGTTATTTTAAATTTTTAAAAAAACTGAGATTTTGAAAAATTCGATACCTTTCTTTTTGATTTTCAAAAGAATAGAGTAAAGAAAGAAATAATAGAAATGGATTTTTACTTTTAATTGATACTTTTTACTTATAAAGACTGATGCGATGAAGAATTTTCCACGAATGAAATGCGAAAAACAAAAAGGACAGGTGCTTTATGACATGGCAAAATATTTCGATGTCATTTATTTTTCAAGACATATTGATCTTTTTCGGAATAACATCTCAAATTTCAATTGTAGATAGTTCTCAAGTCTTGTAGTGGTTTGAAACATATTTACTTGCATCAGGGAACAATTTTTCCGTTTTATACAAACGTAATAATTTGATTAACTTCAGCACTATCTTCCATTCTTTCTAAACCTTAAATGATGAATGAAACTTCGTATGAATATTCAAAATTGACTTTAATATTTTTTTTGATCCAATTTCGCCAGTAAAAAGGAGAAAGATTCATTTTACGGTTGATTGGATGGAATGCAGCGGGATGTTTGATAAATTCTTATCAGGGATGATCTAGCATTACCTTCTGAAAACATTTTGGAAGAGGAATTTTTTTTCATTCATTTCTCTATGGAAGGATTTGACCTCATTATCCAGAATTTTTCGTTCATTTCCCAAAAGATAAATTGCGTCTGATGATTTTAATCACAAGCGTTTATGTTACGCAGTTTGAAGTTTATAATGCTCTTCCTTCATCTACCAATTCCCAACTCTTCTCCTTTTTACCATCTATTATAAATTCCAATGTTGTACTTATCCTAAATCAATTGCATTTGTTAATTAATTGTGGTTATATAATAATTTATTTGAAGCTAAGAAAACAAAACCTACTAGGAAATACAATATTGAAAATAATTGATGCTCTTAGAGATCGAAACGTCATGGAGATCGAATGCTCTATAACAGTGTCAACATGAATGGAAATTTCAGAAATTTTTAACGGATGCTAAAAAGTCCTGCATCTTATATTTTGTCTAAATGTGGCTGGAAAGTTCATCTTAGGATCACTGAAAAGATATTGTCAACCCACATTGTTATCAAACAAACGATCGACTGATATGTAAATATTATTTTGGATCTGCAGTTAACATATGCAAGAAATTTTTCGATCACTTTTCAAATTTTAAAAAGTTTCGACCACAATAAATAGTACGTAGGGAAGGAAGAAATTTCTATTACCAAAATGGGATTTTTCAAAAGTTTCAATTCCCAATGGAAAATGATTGAAGAAGAGAAGATTTGGTACGCATAAATGAGTTCAATTAAATCCAATTATTTTTTGTAGTCCCGAATCCTATTGACGATTAATTATTGTGAAGCCTAAATTTTCAAAAAACTATTTCGAAACTCTACAAGACATTAATTGAAATCTTTAAAAAAAAGGCATTACTTCAATTTTAGGAATTCTCTCAGGTAAATAAAAAAATGAAATCTTAAAAAATTAGAACAATGGATTTAGAGTGAAGATTCATTTCCAGTTAAAAAAAAGAAAGAAAAACTTTCACAATATTTGCCTACCTTACTCATAAAGTTCACTATCATGCAATTAAAATTTCGTCCACTTCCTTGTTCTCCCTCCCTTACCCTCTCTCTCTCTCTCTCTTTCTCTCTGAAGAGAAAATCTTAAGTCACCGTTATCAGTTTAAGCAATCAATAATAGTTAATTTTCCTCAGGATAAAATTCAAAGACAGAAGAAGAAATTGAAAGTAATACTCCTTCCTAAGTATATTTCATTCTAAAAGGATGAAAAAAGAAAAAAGAAAACCGGTTGTGGTAGAACAGTGAAATATCAATCATCCTAACACTTAACAATATCTATCAATAATGTATCTTTCTAAAAAGAAAAATGCAATGCTACAAGCACATTAGATTAAAATCTGAGCGCGATTGAGGTACTGACCTCCTCCTTCTATATTTAGGTTTTTGTCTAAACTGGCTAATGATTTTATTCCTTCATTCACTGATTTTAATGCATTTATTTCGATAAATAATTTCATTTTGATTATACTAGCTGTTAGCGATAAAATAATATTGAACTTTTCCTCTCAGTTCCTCCTCCTATTCATTGGTATTTAAAAAAGAGCTATCCCGGTATGATGTTATAGGAGCTGAAACTTTGTTGGATTTCTCACATTTCTTTTTTTATCATACTTTGAAAACATTACCAAAAATTCCTTTAATTTTGTCTTTGTCATCGGAAGAGTAAAATTCTCTTAATAAAATTCTTAAAGTTCCAATTTAAATTTTCTTGACTGAAGGGATTTCTTGGCACTCCGCCCGAGACACTGCCAATTATCGCAAGTGGATTGGTGTATTGATTGAATTAGAGAAAGATTTCAGTTATTTTAGCTAACTTAATCAGTCGTTGACTTAATTTAAAATTAGCAAATCTAACAGTTACTTTCGTATTATTTGCGTTTCAGTGTAAAAAGCATTAATAATACAAATTGTTAATTACTTTAAAAGAGTTGATTCGGTGTAGATTTCAATTAGATTTGGATATGTAAATTTGGCCGGAAATGAAATAATTGAATACATAATTACCATTTTTTTTAATATCATTAAATTCTTTCTTTCCACAATGAGAAGACAATTCAAATGTCGTTGTTGTTCATCTTTTGAATAATCTAACTCTCATCATCGTACCATTCGCTTTCAATACTTCGAGGAATTTGAAAAATTTCCCAGAAATCTCGTTTAGAACAAGTGCTTTGTCACCTATCGATGGCTTCCTTCAAAACAAATATTCTCTCACTTCAGTATTCACCACATTTTTAACTTTATTTAAGTTGTAAAACAAGCAGCGTCGCCAATCTCATCGTTTTCCAACAGTTCCGATCATTACATCTTACTACTTAGCAGCTATTTCACATCTAGTTTTCAAAAGCAAACTTGGATTACTCTACCATGATCTCTCGAATATTCCAGTTATAATCACTTTCTATTTTTCATCAAATTCCAATTTTATGCATTTTTTGTCGTTCACTGGAATACATGAATAAAAACAATTTCGATATGAGTGAAATTATGCAATTTTGAAATTCATTTTAATTTTTTTTTTTGATCAAGTAAAATTAAAACCTACTGAAATCAACTCTTCCATAACCACTTAATCAATTTTCTCATTTCATTCTAATCTTACTGTTGACTTATGCATGCTTTGAAGAATAAAACAGTTAGCCAAAAATTCTATCTTTCATATGATGTAACTAAAGATAATAAACTCGAATTTATGGTTCGAAATTTTAATGCAAATCTGACCTTTTATCAAGTGATCAAATGTCAACATTTATCTTTCCTCATTAAAGTTTTATGCGACCTCAATATTCTCCCTTGTTTCCATTAAGTCGAACAAAAGAAGAAAACATTTATGTGCTATTTTTTTATACCAGATATTCATATGCGCCATTTTATCAGATGCACTGGTTTGGTAATTTTAAAGATTGTATTGTGTTACTGGAGGAACAGAAATCGAAAAAAATATTAGATGTCTTTGAGAATTCGCAGAAGTTTTCTCAGAGAAACAGTATGAGGAAATGTCAGTCGTCATGATTACACTCTTTTTTGTCGCTCTATCAAAGAATCTTCTTGTCAACTGTCAAGTCATTTGCACCAATGAAGCTTCGTGAGTCTTCACATTTACGTTTTTTAATTTACACCTGGAATTAAGGCTTCTCTTCTGAAATACACCGCAAATTTTGGCAGTTTTATATTATTATGTATAAGATATGAAGGGGAGAATTATCGATAATTATCACTGATAAAGCGGGCTAATGTTGTTGCAATAATGTTTTGGTTCCAGTATTTGTTGAACAAAGAGAGTTTAGATGCGCAGGAAATCATATAGTAATAGTTCCATTAAATTCTTTAATTATAGTAACATTGAGAAAATTATCATTTGTTCATTTTAGCTTTAATGAGAAAGTAATATGCTTTGATCTCGATAAAGGTCGCTTTATTGATCCGAAAATTGGCCGAAATTCGATATATGATATGGAAGTTAATCTTAAACAGCAAGAAATCTCACTAGGCCAAGGTCGAAGGAAACGTATTTTTTTTTTTTGTGATTTGCAATTATTAATCAATGATTTTTATGCCTTATTCTTGAGATTCTAAAATAATTTCAAATTTTGTCATACTATTTAGTAAATTATTGCAATTATTTTTTCCTTCCGAAGCAGATTTCGAAATATGTAAATTTCGAGCAATTTTTCATGACTTTTCTTCCGGGCGGAAACGTTTCGTCCATTTTCACTTCAAAAAATAAATTCGAAGTTGAGAGAAAACTGATAAAAATCTTTTATTTTTCTCATCCATTTTGTAGGAATAAAAAAATGAATTTCTGAAATACGCGTGCATCCGTTTCTTGAAAAGATAAAAATCATTTCATTGCACTATCCATTTCTGTTTTGCATTTTATTTTCAAAATTTTAAATGGAAATTTTTTATGACAAAAACACACTTCCCTAAAAAATCTCTTATTTCTGTCATGTCATATCGACGACTGTCGAAAAATGAGGAACTTCCTTGCACACATAATTCGAATATCTCTCAAATCCATTTTTTATTTTCTTAGATAAAAATACTTTCCAAATCAAAACTTTACACAAAGTTTGTTGTCTTTTTAGCAATAAGCGTTTGTTTATTGCATTTTTTCCTATTATTTTCCTTAAAAACGCATTCATTGCATGCAGTTTGGAATGCATTTATGCAGGATGGTAGTCAATGGAAAAAATGCAAATTTTATATTTTCAATTAAAAATTTGAAAATTTTCATGAATATATATTAATTATAGCGCAAGCATGTCGAGGCTACAATTTTTACCGTCGCTGTCAAAAGAAGTACGCAACGCATTTGGGAAGGTTAGAGTGTCGATACGCAAGATGCTCCGTATGCATTACGAAACACTTACATCCGGATTGTCCCTTCTGTCACGCAGATAGTTAGTATTTGTCCTATGGCCTTTACTTACATCTGTGACAAAACTCCTAATAGATCAGAGAAATGAATTTTTTGAACTTCTTGAAAATTTCAGTTTTCGTTAAAATCTCAATTTATATTGCTCTTCAAATATTTTTATTTCAGTAGATTTAAATTGCAAAATTTGGAGCAATTTTTGTTACAGAATCGGTGTTTTGTCCGGCTGTCGAAACATGCTCTTGCCCTTGGAAAGCTGGCTACGGTATCTGGGATTCCTGTAGACGACAAATCAATAGTCGGTGCTATGGTACTTCAGAACTGTTCTAATTTCTACTTGGATCTTATTATACATTTTACTACTTCATATATTTGATGTAAATCAAAAAATAGCTAAACAATCACTAAAGAATTCCTTCTTTCTCTCTTCACTCAAAACGACGTCCTTGAAAAACTTTTGAAATTAAAGACTCTTGTCGTTTTTCAGTAGCACTTTTTAAATTAATCACTAGAAAACCTTTCTATTTGTAGCAAAACAAAAATAAATTTGCAGGTATTAATGTAACGAAATCAAAAAAGAGAAAAAAGAAACACCGAAAAAAGAATCGTTTCAGTTGACAAATGGGCATTAAAGCATTCTACTGTTCTCTTATAACTTTTTCAAAGAATGTCTGAAGTAATTCTTGTTATCCGAAGAAAATGCTCACAAAATGCTATGCAGAAGAATGTCTGAGAAACGGATTTGCCGATAAAATTTCAAACTCTGCGAAATGTTTGATATCTACCAGAAATGCTCGTACTCAATCCTGAGTAATAATTTCGATCTGTATGAAAAAATAACTCTAAATTTATGCAAATTTTTTACTTGAAATGATGCAATAAATGATGTATATGGTCTTAATTTATTTGAAAACAAATAGAGGAAAGGGTTGCAATATTACTGATACAATGTGTGATCTGCCAACTTTGACATCGCGGGAGACGAATGTAAGGAGTGGGGGAAAAGGTATGTTGCGCATCAAGTATTTACACCATGCAATAGTATTTTCAATGTAGATTGGAAATTTAGCACAGATTTCAATCCATCATACGCTTGATGTGATCCAAAGTCGGATGAAATTTCCAGAACTGTTGAGATATTTGGTGTACTCTTCCTATTATTATCAATTATTATCAATCATTATCAATAGTCACACGTTATAGTCTTTTTTTTTAAATTTGATAAACTTTCATTCATTTCACTTGCTGAATTAATCGTTTACGCCATAACCCATGAAGATGTCCACCTTAGCATCGATGCAAAGTAGTCCAAAATGTTTGCGTATTCACTGAAGTAAGTCCTATATGACCTATACAGGCTAAAAAAGAGCTGTGATATCAAATGATGCATGATGAAAGTTTTAGAGAATAACTGTGGGAAATTTTTAGCATCTGGATTTCGAGCATATTTGAACAATGCTGTTACAGGACAGACAGCTACTCAGGATCGTATTGATAGGCTAAGTAACTGGACACTTTTTGATTTGGCCATTTCTTTGCAGGTAAAATCATTGTCATCTATGAAATTGAAGGTGACCTTGTTGACATTCTGCATTTCAATAAAGCAGTAAAGTTCATATTTCCTGAGAAATATTGAGAATTTCGTTTTAAACAGCAGTAATCATGAAAATGATATCCATGGCTACTTGTGTTTATGGCTCTGGCTATATTCTTATCAACAGTTTCAGGCTACTATTATTATACTTAACATATTAAGTGCACTGGCAATGAGCATTGTTGAATTTTTGAGTCCATGGCCTATGCTACTTATGGCTTTACTATTATTCATCCCCATTTTTCCAATATTGTGCTCTAATCAGCGCGAAGGTAAACTGTGAAATACAGTGAAGCAAACAAGTAAATAGTAGACAGTTACTTATTAGATTTTAAAGTTACAAAGATAAACAGACAAACTGAAATGAGTTGAAATAACTTTGAATTTCCAGAAATTTTGAAACTCTTTGGTACGATGCAATTAACATGTGGCTTTGTTGAACTGTTCTGGTCCAGCTGTGTCTTACTTGACATGCATTATCATTCCAACGATTGGCGTGCATACTTCACCATGTGTACCGTATCTTGGCAGGTTAAAATAACTGTCGTGATTAGTTTTATAGGTAGAAATGTCAGCAGTATACAATTGTAAAAAGTTAAATCTTTCAAGAACTGCGATGTCATTTTATTTATTTCCAGTTTTTGGTGATTCGATGAGTTTGATCCTTGGCAGTATTAGCCACATTTTTCAGCTTGTGTCAATCAGCTTATAATAATCTTTTTTGTCCTATAATTATAGATTGAACTGAGCTGAAATCTGAAAAGCTTTTAAAACAAGTTCTTGAAAAACTTTTAACAAACTTTTTTTTTAATTGAAAAGAATTGATCTGTAGTTTTGTTGCAAGAATAGAATATTTCATTTCATATCAGATAAGAAAAATGTTCAGTTCATGTCAATAATTCTGATATCAGTCGAATGTCCTTTATTGGAAAGAATTATAAATATAAATGGTCAGAGAAACCAAATAAACGTTGAGAATAGCATTGTTACTGACCCTTGTAAGTTTTGGTATCAGAGTTTGAAGATAGCATTCGATTTTGAATTGAAGAAATGGTCATAGAAATGATAAGTGTAATGATTTGTTTATTGACACAAACAACTATGCAAATTAGTACCATTTAGAATGGTTAAAGAATGAAGAAAAATATGTTTAGAATGAATGAAATTATTAAAATGAAATGATTTTACAGCAAGTTGCAGTGTTGATTTACGTATATCGAAACTTCGTACAATTTTAAATTTTGAAAAGCAACGATTAGATGAGAGAAGGGAACGACGAAAAGAAAGGTAGAACAAAAGAAAAAATTTTGATTATAAAAAAATAAAAAAAGAATAACATAACATGGAATTTCCAAAAATGACTTCAAATTTTCATCAAATTTTGAATGAATCATTTTTGCTATTTCAATAAATAAATGGCATTTTTTTTCAGGTTGAAAAGAGACGAATGCATTAAAGACCCTAAAGAGTTTACCGACAGCTTAACACAATGTAAGTTTATTTCGAAAGGAAAAAAATTTTGGTTTGAAATAATGATTGTTTGCAATTCCACAAAGATTGCTAATTTTAAGGCATTAATTCTTATGCAAAGTTGATAAATTCCATTCTGAAGATGAGAGGTCATTTAAAGGATAATTAATGATCAAATGATATTTGCAGTGGAAGAAATTGATTCGCGAACTGCAAGGGACTTTTCTGATTTAAATACCAATAAAATATCGGATCTGAGAATTCCCAAAGAACAAAATGATAAAGTATTGCTATTTAGTCTTAGAAATTTTAATTTCAAAATAAATTTCTTATTCGGATCTAAAATTCCAAAGCATTTTTGCAAATTTTATTCAAATAAATCATTCAAGCATGTGTTTACAGCATAAAGAAAGTGAAAGCAGCAAAGAATGAAGTGATGAGCAGTAATTTTGAAAGGTTCGTTTCATTTTCGATTCATTAAAGAATAGTGTAGAGACCGATAATTAAGTTATTTTAGAGATCAGGCTAATATAGTAAGAGGATCTAAAATCACCTCCCTGGCAATCAGTTAGGTTGACATCAAGAGAATTCGGTGCTACATGTTTGAGCATATAAGATGGCCCCGGAGTGGTTAAAATTTAAATGTATTGATATTTCAAACTAAAGAAGGAATTTCAGGATAGATGTTGAAAATGGAGGAGTTTTGCTCAAGAAAGCATGCAGCGATCTTGCTAAATTGTATATCATTACGCTAACTTCGTAAAAAAAAAGTAAAATTTACATCTAATCGTATCTAGTGCGCCTTTTGATGGATAAATTAGTTCGATTCTAAATACCACCGGAAAATGTGAAGTATACAATTTGTAAGAATGTACTAAAATTCTTCCACCAGGATTTTCATTCCAATTTCAATTTCGGTTCCATGATATGACTTTCGAAATCAAAAATCATAAAGAGTATTCAGTTTTTTCTACCATTTATAACAATACATTGCAATGAATAAATTTTATTCATACTGGGAAAAAAAGAAAAACAAGGAAGACTTCTTTGGAACTCTTCCAAATCAAAAAAAGGCGTTGCTACCCTTTTTAATTTAAAAAGGTTGCGAAAAATTTTTCTCCAAGTCTCTGCAACGTTTTAATGATTGTCGTGATATTTTTCACTACAATCAATAGCACTTTAGTAAATTTTAGTTTCTATTTCAAAAAAACCGGATTCCATATAATCAAATTTAAACATTTAATTTAGTTTCGAAATGGAAATTTGAAATTGCATTTTCGAAAATTATATTTTGGCACGGCCAAAACTGCTTGAGAAGTTTAAAAACGGTGAAAATAGAAGGTGACATAATCTGTTTGTGCTGAATTGCAGTGATGCTGACTTCATATTTATTGTGAAGTCGTTATATGAGAGTTGTGATCTCGACATTATACAAGAAATATTTCGGAAATCATAGGCACAGATAAGTAACTATGGTTCTGGCATACTAAAAAGTGTGATATGAATGATAAGGAATGACAACGCTACCACTAATCACCTTATTCCATATCTTCCCCATGTTTTTTTTCAAAATAAATCCCAGAAATTTGAGAGAAGTGGGTCGTATGGCATCTATTTCTTAGAGAAGAATAATGTTAACCCAGTATTTTAAATTTTATGGCAAAATTAGATTTCCTTAATTGAGATTTTTATTTGTGAGAATAGATTTATTTTATAAAGCTAATTTATAAAGATTATATTGAAATGGCGATATCGAGAGTACTGCATAACACGTTCTTCTTTTATATCATTTTGGCACAACTTTTGCACATTTCATCGATGGACGAAGAATCTGAGAGAAGCAAAATTTTGGAATCGGAAACTTGAATGCTATAATAATAGCACAAAAATTAAGTGAATTTAAGCAAATCAAGTAAGTAAGAATTGTTTGGAGAGCCGATTGCATTCAATTGACGAAGTTCAAAACTACTTTCATGATTCGATAGAAAAACGAGGACTTGAAATGTGCAAACAAGTGATTCGTCCACATTCATCATCGCAGCTGCATTATCAAACTGACCGCAATAATGAGGCGCAGAAAATATTGTCACCAGTTTACGATTCGCAAAAAATTCATAACCATCCTGTAAAAAATTTATGTACCGATTTTACTAAATGGTTAATAATCCATTTTAAGTTGGCTTAAAATAAAGAATTACTTGGAAATTTTATACTAACCTGGACTATTACCAAGCCACCTTTTTTGCAACTACATTTTGCCATTTACAACCTCTCTTTCTACAATAATTCTAAAAGAATCCTATAATGAAGTACTTGAACAACTTGATGAGCTCGAGCAATTAGATCAATGTCTAGTTTTTGACACATTTCCATGACAACATCAGGACCAAACGTATATGATAATCCACGATTATTTGCTTGCCATCCTTTTATGGACGGATCTGGATCCGACCTGCAAAATAGTTTAAAATTATCCATGATTCTTTTTTTTTAAAAAAAAAGAAAACAAATAGGATAACATACCGTTTAAAAAAGTAGGAATTGATTGCATTTTGTATATCTCTTCAACAGCGAAGTTCGAATTTCAAAATTTATGTATAAATCTAATTTTAAGCAGTTAATTTTAAAAATTATTTCGCTTCTGCAAATTATGAAAATTGCATGTGTAACGTCATATTTTACTATAAGATTATGAAGTATACGTATTTCTCCAATACTAATTACGAGTAATTACGGAATAGAAACCATAATAAGTCGATATGAATGGATGGATTTGGAGGATCGATAGGTCGAGTAATCTGTCGAAGTTGATCGATAGTTTTCAGTTGTGGTGATAAACCGCCATGCATGCATAGAATTTTACCGGCAATTAGGCCTGTAAATGGCATGGTGTTGAACACTTCCTGAAAGCAGAAAGTAAATTTAAAAAAAAAGAAGTTGAAAAAAAGGAGGTAAATTAATCGCTCAGATTAAGTCAGAATGTTGCGCTAACATACTATAACACAAACCTATGTTATAAAAAATGATCAACAAAATCATTGCATATAGCATCTGCAGACATTCTGACATCGTCGCCAAGTGAAAAAAAAAAACGTACTGAAGATATTGCGGGGAATGTGCAATAATGGAAAGTATTACGCTTCCGGAAAGCAGTTGAAGGTTGAGTGAATTAAATTTATTTGAAATCAAATTGAGAAATCTTAATGAGGAAATGATAGGAAACCTGAAATGTTTGCCACAACCGCACACTTTGATAGCGACGATTGCATTCTTCGAAGAAACCATAGACTCGATTGATAACACTACACTCGTGATTACCGCGGAGCAGGAAGAAATTCTCCGAATATTTCACCTCAAAAATACCAAAGGACCGTTAATTGCAAATGATGAAGTGAGTTAATATGTGAAATCAAAAATTTCTATCAGAACATTTCATAGATGGTTACATCAAGGCATTAATTGTAACCCATAAATATGTCAAGCATATGGCCAAATATTCAAGGACTTTGTTTCATTGGATTAGGCTGACTGGTACTTTGTAACACAGAAGTAGAGATATAGTTTCAAGATTTTGTCTTCCACGATCAACATAATCGCCAAGAAATAAATAATTGACAAAAGGTGGAAAGCCGCCACGATCAAATAATCGAAGTAAATCTGTAATTAACGAAATTCTAATTTTAAACAATCCCAGCTAGCAATCCTATCATTCGCTATGGGTAGGAAATTTAGCAGATAAAGTTGTAATTAAAAGGAAACATAAGACCAAGCATAATTACATCTTAGCAAAATGAAAGGTAAATGAGCCTTCGCACTTACAACTAACACACTGCACAGTAATCTTACGAAAAAACATACCTGCTCTATGATGTTGATCTAATTAGGAAAGAAACTTTTTTAGGAATATTATTGTTTTGCAACAAAATAAAGGTAGGAATTAATAGATATAAGGAATCAATCAGCAGATAATTAACATTTCATTTGACTCGTGTTCCGTAGTTAAACTGTGCTGGAAATATAGCGATATGTTGACCTGCATATTGACCGTGTGTGTCACCGCAAATTCTGATTGGTGGATCAACCTCGATCAGTGAATTTTGCGATAGGAAAACTTCCTTAGCTAGAGAGCACAAATGCATAATTTCTTGCTCTTTTACGGTTTTCGTCAGACTACATCCCGGGCTGCCAACATTCAACAGCTTGCAAATCAATTCGTCCAAGTCCAACTTTTGTGCCATGCCTAACATTTTTTAGAAGCCAGTGTAACAAAGTTTCAAACACCAATTTCATGTTTTTAACCAGTTTCTTGAACTTCGATTTATTTCCTTTAAACGATGATTTCAATTTCCATTTATCAATATCCCCTTGGAAGAAAGTAGCAAGCAATTCAGGGAAAGGAGAAATGCTGAGGTGACAAACCAAAAAATTTAGATTCTGAATTATCTGTACTGCCTACGAAAATTTGTTGGGAGTACTCATGTCTAAGCCAAACAAAAAATTGGACTACTCCAAAGAAGTCGAAGAAAGCAAATGGAATGGATTTGCACCGGAAACAACTGCACGAAAGCTTATAAAAGCGTGAAATAAAGATGGACAATTGATTCCGCCCAATTTATACATTTCAAATATGTGCTAAATTTTCGAAACTCATTAAAATTTGTGGAAAAACTTGCAGAGGGCAAAATTAGGAAGACAAATGAACTTTCTCGGAATTTAAGCAAACAAATGAAATTCCCAGAAAATGCTGCAAATATAAGGTACTGGAAAAAATATAAGCAAATTATCCCAAACGACTAACAATCATAAACATAAAAAAATCCCTGTCGTTTACTCTTTATGAGGAGAAAAGCATGCATAAAGGAAGAGAAAGAGATTCAGTTCCAAATTTGAATTTCAAATTAACTCAGTTATCCAGTTAAATCAAGCAGTGTCCAATGTTTTGAAAAGGGTTTCATATTTTCTTCGACTACGTTAGGTGAAGATAGTTGATGTTTTGAAATATTACTGTAAAATACTGAAGAGAACAAGTAATTGCAGTTAACCGTTCTTATAAAATGTCATTATTAGAACTTATTCTCTATAGGCGTAATATTTCTAGAAATAACAAAGTAAAATATGTTATCAGTAATGGTTACATTGTTGGTCATTGTCCAGATGTGTGAATATTTGGAAGCTTGTTTGACCTCTCCCATGCAAATTATATTTCTTTTTTCTCCACAACCTTTATAATATTCTTCTTTAGCTTTTCATCAAAATCACATAAATTATTGCATTTAGGCATTTCATTATTGCATTTCGTGTTCTCTCATTAATCAATTGTATTGCTACATGCATATCTTGCTATTTAAAATTAACATATGAATGTATTTTAACGAAAACTTGATAAAAAAATTGTTAAAGTTTACGATGTCATTTCGGGAGTCAAACACCGCAATGTCACTAAAACAGAGAAAAAAAAACAACAAGTATGGAAGTAATGAATGACTGCTCTAACAACAATGGTACTAAAGTAGCAACATAACAAGGACGGTTCGACAATTTTGGTGTTCAACCGTCAAAAATGACCGAATTCTTCCTTTTCAGGAAAAAAATTACTAAAGATATCGGTTCACTATACCAATGAGACTTTACAAATTATCCACAGAACATTTGGACCGGACTTCCCTTTTGAAATTTAAGACACGAATACCGCTGCATTTGACTCTAATACTATCAATTCGCAATCCATCGACTTATTTCTGTTCATCTTCTCGTTCCTACGAATTAACAAGCAGTTTTAACAAGCAGATTAACAAGCAGTTTTAAACCTTGATTTGATAAATGTCAATATTATCGATTCCATCCCAATGCCATACTTTAATCCTGAAAATTCCATATGTAAATTTTAATTTCAACAAATCAATAGAGAAGTCACCACAAATTTTCCCACCACAATTTTCCCACCACAACCACACCTATTCTTCGAAATGCCAGTAACATTCCACCCCAGGTAAATTTCCACAGGAAGCAAGTGTTACACATCCGTTGCATCCCATATCAAGTGATACGAAATAGAAATAGCACAGTGATTTTCTATGAACAATTAAAGTGGAAGTTGCATTTGAGTTTTGTCGAATTTGATGAGAGAAGAGGTCTTTTTGGAGTATCAGTCAATGTTATACTGATGGTTTACTCATTCTCGGATAAGCTAAAAAGGAACTTTGAATATATTTTAACTGCTTGTTAATTTGTCAAGCTCCTATAGCTAAATGATTCGCAAAAATTTTTTTATCACTACTTCCATTGGCGTATTCTATTTTGAAAATTTTTTCTTATAGAAACTGGAGTTATTTTACTATCATGATAGGTTATGGGAGCATTCCCTTCTATGTGATAATGATTTTCTCTATTATCTACCTTTCGTTTTTGAATTCTTCGCGCATAATCGTTGTTATTTTGCATTTTTAGAATATGATGATAGATTCGTCGCGAATGTCTTTTATTTATGGTTTTTTGTTTGGTAGGACGATTCAGAGCATATCACTGGCAACCAAATTAAGCCTTCGCCGAAAGAATCGTCAGTACTGCACTGTTCGTTTATCGTTGAAATCTGATGCTATTTGTGAGTAAAAGTAGATGGTATCAATATATACCCTTCTCTTTTTAATGAATTTGAATACGAAAATATCTACATGTTATTGGCTCCTTACCCCTAAAGATCATGTAAGAAACAAAATAGCATTATAACATTGTCCAGAGAGATGCTCTGCTTTATTAACTTAACCCACTAGTCTAAGATGTTCAGGTGGGAAGTTCTCAGCACATTTCACCGAAGCTATACGGTTAGGAGGGAATTTCCCGAGTAATGGATTAATAATTCAAAACAAGCAAATTTATTCACCTATTGCAGAAAAGCCAAATTGCTGTAAAGATACCCTTTGCTTTGCTGCCTTCATATCGATTGATCGCAAAATCTGAAAATAACAACATATTTTTACGCCTTTTATTGGAATTAGAATTGCTATATGGAGCTGCTGAAGCGAGATTACCGACTTATTTCACGGATAGCGACTGGGTCAAATACATCCAAATGACTAGTGTTATCGAAAGATGCTGCTACTTGTATCAGCTTTATGAAAGTAGGAAAGAAATTGAAGGAAAACATAAAATGAAGGTATGCTTGTTAAATTATCGATTTTGAATGAGAAGGATTGCTATGGAGCTTAATTTAGCAGCAACGGTAAGACAGCGAATTGGTGTATAGGATTCGAGATGGTGCCAACTTTAATGTTTTCCTATTCTTCAAAATCAACCCTTATTCATTTATATTTTTTACTGCGGTAGTAATACTGGTCCTGGCTATAAGTTTCCAGAAAAATTCACCTCCCCCCTTTTTTATGGTAAACTATGAAAATAATAACACGTCCGCCTTATTCTGTTTTATATTAAAAGACTTCAGATAAGATGTCGAATATTTCTCATCCTATTTTTCAGATGCATCGAGAAGTGGAAATTACTCATAAGGGAGACTTTCATATCAACACTCTTTATTACTTCGAAAGAGAAGATTTCAGAAGTATTTTAGTTAAATGATTTCATATAATTCAGATGAATTTCACCCCTCTTTTGAGGTTATCAAAACCGTATTATTTCCAGTGTTGAAACATTTGCACAGATTGACACTCGGAAAGCACACATACATTCATTCAACTCATGTAAGAAAGCATCAGAAATTAAACTGGCTTTCAAGGAGCATAAATGGAGGTCTTTAAAAGCAGTGACTAAAGAAAATCATTATTATGCAAAGTCTTTCATTAAAGTTATATTTTGAAGGATTTGCTTACGAAGCATTCGGTTGTCGATTACTAGCCGCATGGCGCTGTAAAGATTCGTTCCCGCCGTTGCTAGTTGATTGTCGTTATCTAGCCGATTTGAATCATCCGACACAAAGAACTTTAGTAAAGTATTTATTACGCTTCATTTGAAATTTAAAGTAAGCAAAAGTAATTGAATTAAATAACGATGATTTTCATCTCTTGAGAAATGCTACATTAGTTTTACTTTAGTGGTAACTAATTTCCTGATGTGTGATTGTCTTCTGATGTCATTATTGATGCACTTCAGTCGACCCATCGTTATTATGAAAATGCTCAATAGATGGAAGTACTCAGTAATCAAAGTAATCAATATATAAGAAGTGAATTGATATTCTCTTGAAATAGACAAATTTTTTTAAAGTAACGGACAAAGAGGGTTTGCGATAATTGATGAGAGGTGACAAAAAGGGAATTTTAAGCTGCGTTTTATGTGATCGATTTTAGACAGATAAAAGATTTGGTGCTCGACAATAGCTTGCAGCGAAGTCCATTTCCGGTCGTTTTTGTAAATTACCATACTACGATTAACATCGCTGAAGAGGTTGTGAGGTATGTTTCAAATCATGTGACTTTTTCTGAAACTCGTACGAATAGTGCAGTTGATAGCATCATTTTGTGGCAAAATATAAATTTAAATGATTGTTTGATACTTTCAACAAAAATCTACTCAGCAAAGAAAAAATTCTCACCGTAAATAGTCAGAAAAGGAACTCTTTAAGAAACCTGAGTTTAACCCAAATCTTGGTTGATGTTAAGTTCATGGCTTCGGAAGCGCTGTTTGCCAAAATATCGCCCGTCTACTGCTAATGGAAGTGAAGAACTTCCCGATGAGAAAGGTGAAAAAAGAATAAAGGATCGTATTTGTGCTCCATTTGTTCCTATTGTTACAACAGCCACAGTTCGTGAATGCCTCGGCTGCACTAATCCCGGTATAATTCTAACTTTGTATCAACTGTTCTTTTTTGTGGATTTGAATCTGAGTTATGACTTTTGTGTAGGTCGATCTCTAATTTCTTCCCATGAGCATAGCTTTCAAATGAACTGATTAGTTTACATGGATTCCCCCAACGATTTTTAGGAAATCACGATTTTTGCTGGAAGTTAAAATTAATTTTTTTTTCAGTCCTGACTTTAGTTCAAATCTTAGTGCGCCTTATTAGATATTCAACTACTTACACCAAGAAATCTGCTTTCAGAAGAAATTGCTTACATCAACCCACGAGCTGCAGAATATTTACCATCTCCGCTTTCGAAATATAAAGCATTCGTGTTGTGTGCCACTCCGGACAACAAATTAATAAATTCTGCTTTTCAAGCGGCCAGAACTGAGCAGTTAAACTCTTATAAACTGCCCATCACTAAATTTTTGAAGTAAGCAAGGACCATTTATATCAGCATAATAATAGACTTCATTGGAGACTTCTTTTTTTTATTATCGAAATGACAGTTACCTTCCGATAAATTCGAAATTTGAAAATATGTTACAGTCTGGGACAAACAGCGGTCACGATGCCTCTAAAGATTACAGCAAATATAATTCGTGACGTCTACGCAAATAGTTGCGAATGGAGGACAGCATTCGAGAATCATATACCTTATTTCAATATTTTAGCTAATGATATGTATAAAAATCACAACGACGACAGAGATACTCTTCAAGTACTTTTTTTATGTTTCAGCACTTCTGTTCTATTTTGCACGTTAAATTAAGCCAAAAATTTCGACTAAATGCTTTAGGTGATAAATATTGGACACCTTCAGGAAGTTTTTCGAGCCAAGTTCCAGCACTGATATTTGAAAGATCGGTGCTTCATGTTAACACGCAAATCACTACCATATCCTCTCTTTTTCCGCTTTAAGAGTGACTTGATTTGACGCTATCAGTCCAATAGTTCTAATGAGGGAGACGAAAGATTGGGCTACGCCTTTTATCTACATCGAAGTTCACCAATTTCGTTAACGTGTTGCTTTTCCAGGTTATAGGACAATGGCTTTCGGATGCTGAACGAAGAGGGAAACGGAGAAGAAAGTTCGTTCATGCATATAGCCGGGAAGAACGAAGAGCAGCACAAACGGCACTTGCAGAACAGAACCTGTCTTAGTTCAATTACAAGTGATCAGTGTTCATTCATATCCAAAGTATGAATACCAAGACTGCGAGATCTAAAGAAATATGAAATGAGCAGAAAATAAAACCAAGGTAATTTCATAGATTTCATACCTCTGTCGTCAATTTGCGAACTCTTTTAACTCGCTTCCCAGGAAATCTCTTTTTAGAAATAGCATGACTCCAGTTTATATTGCTCAGTTTTACGATAAGATAAATAAGCTTGGCATACTAACAGCAGTTGTAGAGGAAAAAATTTTTGAAAAAATTATTCTCAAAAAAACTTTTTAAAAAATTCTCTTATAGCATAAAACCAACATACACTTGATTACGTAATATAACACGGATTAAATTTATTAAAAAGCAGAAGTAGTAAATTCATTTGCGAAATCGGATACTTTCGTGTGAAGTCAAATCAAGCGAGAAAAAACAGTACTGTCAATTCTCGGAAAATAAATCCAGAGAGTGTGGAAAATACAGGTCGAAGGAGATCTGACGACATTAACGGCATGCAAAACTTGTAAAAGCTATACCTACGACAGTTCGAGCAAATCTACTGGGGAAAATGAGTTTAAGATAGTATTAGAGCGATTTCTTGGAAATTCAAATAAAAATGGAGATGAAAATGATAAGCAGTATTAAGTGGAATTTGGAAAAATTTTTAACGTGTGGTAACTCGTCAAATCGTTCATGCAAGATTGGAAACAGTAAAATAAGCCTACAATAAAACCACTAATCGAAACGACTCTTCAGGAAAACTGATAACGAGTAGATAGGCTAGATGAACTAAGGCACTGGGGTTCGAGCAAAATGAAGTTCCCAAATTTATTCTCGACTTACTCCAAATTTTTCGGTAGATGCAAAGCCACAAATAGTACGAGTTTCGCGCCTTTATTTACTAACCAGAAAGAAGTTAGGAACGCAAGATCTCATATTCATGTCTAGAAATTTATAACTATTTAGAAATTTGTTCAACAAGCGGCATGTTATTCCGCACATTGCTGGTTGCAAATGCAGCAGAACCTTTCGGCAATACACCAACTTTTTGCGCTAGATCAGCGAGTCGATTTGCTTGTGGACTTTTTTGTTCATCATCAATGGTCTGCAAAATTGTTGGTCATATTAAAAAAATAACATACCACGGGAGAAATGGTTCATTAAAAAAGTCAGATCACCATAATCGGTTTCAAAGCATATCATCTTGGGTTAGAAAATAGTTCTATCCAGATAGGTAAGTAATCCTGTAATGGTCGAGAACGTACTTACTCTGCGAGTAACCGCTCGATATACAAGTCCATCTTCACCAACGTAAAATACTGTGAGACCATCGTACCATTTCAACTTAAACACGAAGTGTGGATTACCGAAGCAACTTCACTATGTGTCTATTTCTTGAGTTTTGGGTGATAGTAATACATCACTTTGCATACAAAAACAGGAAAATAACATAGAAGCAAGGAAATACCCTTTTGATACGATATTCATATTTGAACAGCATGGGATTCAGTAAGGATCGTATCAGTGAGACATGTTTTATGCGCCATCTTAACCGTACTGTTCCATCTTCCGAGATTGGTAATATATTCAAGACCTGAAATAAGGATAATGAAAGGAATTTCTATTTCACTAACTAATCACTATGAGCAGGAGTGATGTTGAAAAAAAAAAAAAAAAGGAAACAGAATTACCTCCATCTCTATATGAGGAAAACAAAAAAGACATATTACATTAATCGAACCGAAATAAATCATGAGTTTGTCTCGACCCCTAAAAAATGAAATTATATAGTACAAAAAGTATAACTGGATAGTCTTCTTCTGCTAACGGCGCGACTGCACACCGAATACGACTAATGATTAAATAAAACTGAAGATGCCAGCCATCAAGTCATACTAACACCCAAGGGATTCATCCAAAGTCATTCGTAGAGAAAATGCCAGATAAAAAAAATGGAAAAACACGACAAGCCCAAGAAATGGTAAGTTTTCGGTTAGCTAAAAACTGTTATGTGGAATCCTCATTCCATACACCATTTTGGATGGTTTACATATTTTTATGCAGAGTTCTCCATTAAATCTTGGATGATGCAACACCAAGATTTACAAAAATAATGTAACCATACGAAAATAACGAAACCTTACCACAACAAAAGAACTCACGTAATAGTCATCTGCAAAATCTCATCCCTGTACACCACATCCGACCTATAAAATGTGTAATCAGGCTGCTCCCGAAAGAATCGTGGAGCCTGAAATGCAACATCTGTTCGTACTTTTCTCTATAACCACCTGTTAGCGTTTTTGCAGCTGAACATGAATGATTCAGCAGTACTACCTCTCGAAGCATGACGATGGAGCTGGGAGGTTCTAAGGGTTCTAAACAGTAAATCTAACAGAAATTTCAGACCAATTTGGAGTCACTTGTAGATGAGGGTAACAGCGACTTATTACACTTCATACTTATTACGACTCATTTCACTTGTTACATTTCATAAGATACAAAAATACCCAAGCTTTAAAGGGCACAAAACCTTGTCTATGTTATATGCATGTGAAACTAAATATTAAACAGAGAAAATTAATTCCACGTTGCTTTAACAATATCAGTCATTGTCAATTTTACGTAACAATAAAAATTTCGGTTCAGAAAACTTACACACAAAACAAAATTAAGGAATACTGTTACCGTTATTTCTAGTCTCTTTCGTATGTGTTCCAACTGAAACATTTCTGGTCCTTTGCTACCTCGTCCATTACTATATGCACGTGAGACTAAAAAAGAAGTAGAGGAGGGAACAGTGAGAGGGAGCAAATACCGCAATATCGTTCGCATTTGTGCTGTTGTCGTTAAAACTGCAAAAGAAAGATATAAATTCATCAAAACAGGATAAAAATATTTCGTACCAATCAAAAAGCATGCAGAAATTCCCACGCTATAAACTGAAAAATTGAAATTGAGAAAAATAATGAGTAGGAAGAAGCCGATGATCTAGAAAGTCAGCACTTCAGAATTAGCAACTTTATCTCTGATATCTCGAAAATAGTACCGTCTTTTGCAAATAGTTTGAATTCAATGACTTATAACATAGAATTAAAACTTATTCATTCTAGTGTACCAGTCCCGAAAAAAAAAAATGTGACTGAAAAGCTACGACAGTTCTCAATGGAAATTAGGAACAACTGAATATGTATGAAATAATCTTTCTTTCCGTAAAGGAAAAGAGCTCCTTTGTCTTTCCTTAGAAATTTGATACCAAAAGAAAGAGAATTTTAAAAAGAGTCAAAATCAACATCCCATGCAGAGAGATTCACTGCTGACCTTTGCCGTTTTCAGTTTTCGCAGCTTCTTTTAGTTTTGCTAGAGCAGAAGCATCGTCCTGGTCGTTCCGAGTTATCTTCAAGAATTTAAGTAAATTAAAAAGAAAAGTCATTTTGAAAAATGATCGCTGCAACATTTGAAAAAAATAAATATTGAGATAAGAGATCAAGAGATGTGTGCTTAACAGTAAAATTCCAAAAGTATTTATATATTCTAGAAAAAATTTCGAAGAGTTCAAAAATTAGCGAATTTGCAACCAACTTACCGGTCGGTTATTAATCTTGTAAATACGTCCATCCTTATCAAGATGAATATCTAAAGCTCCTTCAACAATATCTGTTTGCTGCAAGAAACAACCTTTCAATAAAGCGTAGTAAATCAATAAGATTCGATATAACAAACTTTGAGAACAAAAACAGGGTGGAAATGTCCATCAAGTTCATACCTGATGATATAACCTGATGGCCATCATCCGCCAAAGAACTATAACGACATCACTGTTTTCATAGATGCATGATCCTAATTTCTAAAAAACAAGTACTTTGTAATGTGCCTTCACAAACAAAGCTTTGTAATTACAAAAGCAGTGTAAGCCGAGTGATAGTAAAAAAAACCTTGAACCTCAAAAAAGTATACTATACCTCAAATCTGCTGGTCGCTCGCATCAAACTGAAGTATAGCTTGGAGAGCGAAATACGTCTTATAAATTTATCTATGCCCCTGCAAACACAAAAACTGACTAGAAGTTCATTAGAATCCCCATGAATCATATATCTGAATGAAAAGTCCATCAGAATAATCACACTTTTATACATATTTGAAGTCTTTTTCAAGGCCAAACTTTTTTAAAAAAGATTATGCAGTGAAGAAATAGATGAGTGAAGGACTAATATAAAATTAATACCAGCATGATAGTGATAAAATGCTAAGAAATGCTGGAATTAAATGTTGAAATTTCCTAAATAAAGTTTAAAAAAAGCATTTAAAATACGAAGGATACTTAATGTGCTGATTAAAAATTGAATCGTCGTAGACAACGTCCTTGGCACACAACTTCATAAATTCTAAAAATTGCTTTCGATTGCTTAAAAATCCTGGTACCTAAAACCATATTCAGTTTGCATTACTTCATTCTACCCTTTCTTATAAATACAATCCAAACTTGTTAATGAAGAAAACCAAGTTTTACACAGCTGTCACAGAATACCAATAGGAAACTTCCGTCAATTTTGTTTCTATTATTCCTGAGTTCTAGTGCATTTTCAAAGAAAGCAGACATGAACGTGAAGTACAAAAGTAACCGAAAGGAATACAAAAGTAACCAAGAGAAGACGTAACCAAAGTTCAGATTTAAAATTCGTGAAATCAGGTATGACAAGAAACAGATAACTGCATTTCATATTTTAAGATGAACGTACCAACGTATCGGTGAGGCAATCCACATAAAATAACTGCTCTTTGGTTGGCAACTTCTCTTCATCAGTAACTCTAAGACCTGCTGAAGTCGATGGATTTTTACTAAAAGTGTCGTGCATATATCTGGCCGAATCCAGAGATCTTCGAAATGGCCGGTAACGGTGGTACACAGAAAACTCCTGTAACTTACCTAATTTGTCAGCTTTCTGCACAATGCAAAATTCCCTCCCTCGCAAACGAAAAAAGAATTTTAAATCCACTTAATAATGATGTATTAAAGAAAAATTAATACGTTAGAGAACTGTGAATATCCAGTCCAAGTTGATCAGTTAGCATAACAATAAAGAGCTAGTATTATGACAATTTAAAACCATGGATAGAATTCCTAGAAGTTTCGGGACAAACTTTCTTGGTAAATCTTCTGAAAAAGTCTTTTCCGAAATTTATTTGACTGCAATATGTTACCCGACAAGAGCACGACAACAGTACTGTCGGTACTGATACCAATGAATTGCAGCTTCGTCGAGAAACAATGATTGATCGTGGATATACAAATTGTTTCCACAGCATTGCTGCAATATCGTTATTCTTTTTTTTCTAAAAAGAGTCATTTATATACATCAGTCAATGATGACTAAAGTAACATTGGTTCACCATATAGCACAGAATGAATGGTTGCTCTTTTTTTTACAACAACAGAATACTTCATTTGTTCAATGATTTATAGTGAATACGAAGAATCGCCCAAATTTCTCGTCAAGTCAATCTCCTTCATTCTGTCGAGAGAAATGCAGCAGCAACTTCAAGAACTGATTCCTCCCACTCTCCTCTTCTTCGTAATAGCAAACCAAGCATCTACCACCCAAATCCATTACTTGCTGATGACACAAAAATGAAGCCACTAAATGAAACAATTGAATCCCTCAATTTGAAATGATTTGCAGCGTTTGGAAAGAACTGGTAAATGGTTAACTAGCTGAGATTATTTACACAATTTCTATAATATTTACTTTATTTGTTGTCTTCATGTCCATATTTAATTTCTGAGAATATCTTTGTAGCCAATCTTATTAATTTCGTTTTTCAGATTTAATTTTGCAAGATGCAATTTACTACCATTGAAAATTTCCTGTACATCCTACATTTGAATTACTTAAATTGCAAATAAATTCAGCAATTACATGCCATTTATTTATGGGACAGTTATTCTCGAATAGATATATAAAAAACAGCAAAGTGAGAAGTTCTAAATTTCATTTCTAAAAAATGCTAATTTTTTGGTTAAAGAAAAATGTTTTTCTTCACAGTTTTGTTTTTTTTTCCTTTAGACGACTCATTGATGTTTGGATATTCCTTTTCTTTCTTCGATCCGATGGTTTATTGTATTTATGATCATAATTCAGTGCTTATTTATAACAGTACTTTGTACATTCTTTAGTAAACTTTGTAATTAAAATCGATATTTAAGAAAAAAAGTCTCGCATAAGTTTCATCAGTAGCTCATCTAAATAATAATCATTTACTTAGTCAAATGAAACAGCACTGAATTCAGCTTCAAATTTTATCCAAGATACCTGTTATAGGTGATTATCTGATTACTAAAGGCAAAAAAAAATGATTGAGTTTGCTAGAAAAGATAATAATCAATTGAAATAATGCATATCCTTCCATCATGGAAATCTGTTTAACGAAAATTTTATTTTTACTGAGAATACTAATTACCGGAAGTATGTTGGCACATGGAATATTCCCAACAAAATACTACATAACGCAATTATCGCAGAGGGATTTGTATAATATTTGTGTAATCGATTTCAGTATTGTCTTACGTATCGGGATTGTGATGTTTTATTGCTGCTCTGATCCTCCTAAACCATCTTAATCATTTTTTCAAGTGGATGGTAAAGATGATGGTGAGAAGCAGTGGAGTATAAAAAGATAGATGATTATGAATAGATATCAATTCGGAAAAGCAGAACAAAACGAAACAGTTGGCTAGGATTAGCGATATTTGTTTAGATTCCACCGATTTTTACTACTCTGAGCACATCTTAACTTCTACGGATGCAAAGAAAATATGAGTCATGTAAATGATGTTATGTTTATTGATACAGTATTGATCCATATCAATAGATATTGCTTGTGAATGCTATCCCAGTAGTCATTGTATTTAAAGAACTTTTCCAAACTATCAAAGTCAAAGATCATTATGACTCGAAAAAGACATCCATCGAATTGTTTGATTATATCTACAATATTTTAATCTAATAAGATTGCAACCCTGTAGAGCAATACAAATTAACAACTTCTATTGTAGCTGCTTTATAAAATATTTAGTATATCTTTGTTTATTATGAGATGTTCCTAATTTGAGTGAATGAAAGAAATCAATGAGAAATTTTCAGAGATCAAATTCATCAAATTTGAGAATTTTGTGAACATGCAAATTGGTGTAATCAAAACGTGTTGGAAGTTGTTTTTGAGATGGTATGCGATTAATTTTCGACGGCTTTTTTGTTGATTGTAACCTAATTTGTTTGTGGAACATTTAAATGCATGCTGCAGTCGGAAAAACCATTCTAATTCAGGTCATCTAGTGAATTCATACCAAGGAAAAGTGAAAAAGAATGACTTTTTTAATCACAATATTTTCTTGTTGATATAGCTTCAGGTGGAATATTCAAATATATATATATATATATACT